ACTCGTAAAGCTGCTGGGACGTAAGTGTCTCGCGTGGACGCCGCTGCAGCTGCAGCTGGCCACTGCCAGACGCTCCCAACTGACCAGCTCTAGGGCGACAGCTACGACGACTACCGCCACAACCCCAACTAGCGTACCACTCACGTAACTGCTGGGGCGTGAGAGACTCGCGCGGACGTCACTGGAGCTGCATCTGGCCACCGCCAGTACCAGTAGCAGTAGCCTAGCAGAGCAGGCGCGGCAGGCAGGCAGACAGGCAGGCAGGCAGGCTGGCTGGCAGGCAGGCAGGCTGGCTGGCAGGCAGGCAGGCAGGCAGGCAGGCAGGCAGGCAGGCAGGCAGGCAGGCAGACAGGCAGGCAGGCAGGCAGGCAGGCAGGCAGGCAGGCAGGCAGGCAGGCAGGCAGGCAGGCAGGCAGGCACGCTGGCAGGTAGGCAGGCAGGCAGATGGCGCGGCAGCGCGCTAACAAGGCAGGTGCTCACCAGTGGCGGGAAGAGCAGGCGCTCGCCGGGCGAGCACGGCCGGCGCTCGGCGGGCGGCTGCACGGGGTCCAGGGGCAGCGTCGCGGGATCCAGGGGCGGCTGCACCAGGGGCGGCTGCTTCAGGGGCCAGGGGCGGCTGCTCTGGGTCCAGGGGCGGCTGCTCCAGGGGCGGCTGCTGTAGGGGCCAGGGGCGGCTGCTTCAGGGGCCAGGGGCGGCTGCTGTAGGGGCCAGGGGCGGCTGCTCTGGGTCCAGGGGCGGCTGCTCAAGGGTCCAGGGGCGGCTGTTCGAGGGTCCAGGGGCGGCTGCACCAGGGGCGGCTGCTTCAGGGGCCAAGGGCGGCTGCTCTGGGTCCAGGGGCGGCTGCTCGAGGGTCCAGGGGCGGCTGCACCAGGGGCCAGGGGCGGCTGCTCTGGGTCCAGGGGCGGCTGCACCAGGGGCGGCTGCTTCAGGGGCCAGGGGCGGCTGCTCTGGGTCCAGGGGCGGCTGCACCAGGGTCGGCTGCTGCAGGGGCCAGGGGCGGCTGCTCTGGGTCCAGGGGCGGCTGGACCAGGGGCGGCTGCTGCAGGGGCCAGGGGCGGCTGCTCGGGGTCCAGGGGCGGCTGCTCCAGGGGCGGCTGCTCCACGGGCGGCTGCTGCAGGGGCCAGGGGCGGCTGCACCAGGGGCGGCTGCTTCAGGGGCCAGGGGCGGCTGCTCTGGGTCCAGGGGCGGCTGCTCGAGGGTCCAGAGGCGGCTGCACCAGGGGCCAGGGGCGGCTGCTCTGGGTCCAGGGGCGGCTGCACCAGGGGCGGCTGCTTCAGGGGCCAGGGGCGGCTGCTCTGGGTCCAGGGGCGGCTGCTCCAGGGGCGGCTGCTGTAGGGGCCAGGGGCGGCTGCTCTGGGTCCAGGGGCAGCTGCTCGAGGGTCCAGGGGCGGCTGCCCCAGGGGCCAGGGGCGGCTGCTGCAGGGGCCAGGGGCGGCTGCTCTGGGTCCAGGGGCGGCTGCTCCAGGGGCGGCTGCTGCAGGGGCCAGGGGCGGCTGCTCTGGGTCCAGGGGCGGCTGCTCGAGGGTCCAGGGGCGGCTGCACTGGGTCCAAGGGGCGGCTGCTCGAGGGTCCAGGGGCGGCTGCACCAGGGGCGGCGTAGCTAGTGCAGGGCAGCGTGCGGGTCCCACAGGCGCCGCGACTGGCGACGGGGGGGGGGGGGGGGGGGGGGCAGCGCGCAGGCGGGGCCGCGTCGGCGGCAGGGTGGGGCCGCGACCGCGGCAGGGCGAGGCCGCGTCGACGGCCGTAGAAAGCAGCTCGGGGGCTGCGAAGCTACGCGCGGGGCAGGAGAAGGCAGCGCGGGGGCTGCGGGGCGGTGCGCGGGCCTGACAGGGCCGCTAGCGGGCTACGCGTGGGGCTGACGAGGCAGCAGGCGGGCTGCTAGCGGGCTGTACGAGGGCCAGCAGAGGCGAGCGCGAGGGCTGCGCGACGTAGGGCAGTGTAGGCAAGGGGCAGGGTAACTCGGTAACCGGCGGAAATCGGTTGGTGGGCCCGAAAAAAAAGTCCTAAAACGCTCCTAGGGACCTATGTCGCTCTTAATACCATGTCGAAAGTAAAGAGAAAGGTGTGATGGACTATCGAGAGAGTTGGTACAAAATGAAAACCTAAGGGGTTGTACCCCACAGTGAGTACCCCACTAAAGCCTACCTAAACTATAACATATAAACATATGTTTGACAGGCGGGGGTTTCCCGCCTGTCATTGACGAGGACCTCGAGGCGCCAACCTTACGGGGTCCCCTTCGTTGCCCATTTGTGCACCGTCTCTTTCATTTTTTTCATTCAGATTCAGTGTAGGCCGCCTGGCTGGCGAAGCCATGGCGGAATTCAGCGAGACGCACTTCCTCTTCAAGAACAAGAGAGCTCGCCCATGGCGACTTACCGACGACGGGTGGTATACCCGTGAGCCCGCAGCGCCTCCAGTGCCACCTGAACCCCCAGCGCCCCCTGCTCCTCCTGCTCCTCCTGCACCTCCTGCTCCTCTTGCTCCTCCCGCACCTCCCGCTCCTCCGAATCCACCTGATATCGGTGCCAGTTCTCACCAACGGCCCGTGCTCCAGCTGTATTTACCAGCCACTTTCGACGAGTGGCTGTCTGAACCGGACACACCCAAGGCCCCTGATGTGTTCATCCAGGCTCCGCCGCCTGCACCACGGTGGGGACAGCCCGAAGCCTGCACGTGGGACGAGTCGGCTGTGGGCGCCGACGATGACGGTGAAGCGGGCGACGGCGACGGCGACGGTGACGGCTGTGGGCGCCGCCGATAAACAATACAGCGGCGACGGCGACGGTGTCGGCGACGGTGAAGCGGGCGCCGAGGAGGACGTGTTCCCAGATCGTGGTGCAAGTGCCGAGGACGACGACGATGTGGAGTCATGGTGGCGCGACGCACCACGCGAGAAGATGCCGATACTGACGTATCTGTCGATTAACAAAAAACGACCCCACCCCTCCTCCCAGAACCGAGATGCCCGCCCCCCCTCTCCCAGGCACAAGCCGTCTCAACATAAACGGCAGGCCTACACCTCCCAGGAGAAACTCAGGTGGCTCGTGCGGCTGGAGCTGGCGGCATCTATAAGCGAGGTCGCGCGGGAGTCCGGCATACACCGCAAATGCCTGACGGAGTGGAAAATCCAAGCAGAGGAGCTCAAGGCTTCACATGCCGCACGGTGTCGACTTCATGGTCGCGGGAGGTCTTCTTGGTACAAACCCATGGAGTTAAAGGTGTACGCTCAACTCCTCGACTGGCGACGCCGCGGTGTTGCAGTGTCAGTCGGCCGGCTCCAAGAATGGTCACGCGAAGTGATGAAGGTGCTGTTCCCGGAAGTCAAGTGGAAAGGGAGTCAGCGGTGGTCGGAGCGGTTCCGCAAGCGGTGGAACCTCAGCGTGCGCATGAAAACTAAGGTGGCGCAGAAAACGCAAGAGCGTAAGTGCCTTGTTTCTCGCTTACCTCGAGCAAATTCGCATGCTTTATGAGTTGTACTCATCCTTCTTCCTATCTGTCCTTCCCTCCCCGTGCGCAGACGTGGCGACGCAGTGCAAAGAATTTTGGCAGTTCGTCCGCGACGCACGCAACGAGTACGCGATCGACAATCGATACATAATCAACGCCGACCAATCGCATCTTTGGTTGGAGATGCCGGCCACTACCACCGTGGAGCCGACGGGCGTGAAGTCGGTGCCCATCCGCAGCGCTGGTTACCAGAAAGAAAGAGTCATCGTGATGCTGGCGTGCACGGCGACGGGCGAGAAGTTGAAGCCGTGGGTGTTTTTCAAGCGCAAGACACTCCCTAAGGGTGACTTCCCGAACGGTAAGCACATGTTCTTGTGCGTGTTCTGGACGTTATAAAAAAAAGGGGACTAACCACCGCTTGCTTGTGTGCAGATGTCGTGGTCGGATGCCAAGCGAACGGGTGGATGGAGGCCACGGGCGGCATCCAGTGGCTCGATGAGGGCGTGGTGCCGTTCCTGAAACCCAAATTCGGCGTGCAGAATCGGAGCGCCATGCTAGTTCTCGACTCCTACCGTGGTCACCTTACCAAGGAAGTCAAGGCGAGATTCGCGGCGCACAACATCGTGCCGGCGGTCATCCCAGCGGGATGCACGGCAGACGTGCAGCCGCTCGATGTGTCGGTGAACAAGAGCTTCAAAGCAAGTGTTCGCCAGCAGTACTAGTCTTGGTTTGAGGCGGACGGCATGAACATCCTAACACCTGCAGGTGAGCGAGGACATGTCCTTCCGTCTCCCCTTCGTGTGCTTGTCTGCCTGCTTGTGTTCTAATGTCCCCACTCCCTTTCATGTGGTGCAGGGAACATCAAGAAACCACCCCCGGAGGTGGTGCTCAAGTGGATTTCACGGGCGTGGAAGGCCGTGCCCGCCGACCTGATTAAGAAATCCTTCCTCACGTGCGGCATCAGCAATGCCCTCGACGGGAGCGAGGACCATATGGTGATGGCGCACCGGAGAAGCCAGCTGAGCCACGAGGTAGAGGTAGACGACGGCATCCAAGCACACGGGTTCTGGGGCAACAACTCCACGGAGCCTGAATCGGGCGTGGAGGAAGTGGAGGCCTAAGGCTAGACTAGGCAAGATGGTGTTTAGGCTAGGACAATAGTCACCCTATTGTATGTGCAAAACTTTTAGGTAGTGCAAAATTTCCTATTAAAGGCTAGCCTTGCTTTAGCTCTAAAGATAATGACATATTCAAAGTGTATTTTTTTATTACAAGGGTGCGCTTATAATAAGTAACGAATTTATAAGGGGTGCGCTTCTAATTGAGGATCGGCCATAAGCGCATTGCTCCAGATATAAGCGCATGCGCTTTTAATAGGCCTGCGGTTATATCCGGGGCGATACGGTATTGGTACTGCATCAGCTACCATGCATCTCTGTCCACCCATTCACATTATAATAAGATATTGAAGTTGAGAGGTTAGCAGCTCGGCAAGAAGCAACGTACGGTACCGGTACAGGTGCCTGTGCTACCACACCCAGCCTTGGCTTATTTCGCTGTGCGTCTCAAGAACCCTTCTCTAGCGAGTAGTGCAGAGCCGAATGCAGCATCGGTGTTCCCTGATGGGGCCACAGGCACTCCCATCACTCGCTCCCTTATAGCACTCCATGTAGGGTTGCCTGCACCACCCCCTGCTGTGTACACCCGCTTCACTGGCGGCGACGCTCCCAGGTCAGCTAGTAACGAGTATGCCCTGGCCTGTTGGGTCGAGTTGGTTGGGGAGGGCAGGAGTGGATCACACGAGCGGGCATGATGTGATGTTGCGTGCACAATAGAGTAGCAGATGGAAAGGAGCGATTGGGTGTCAGGGTGCTTGTATGAGTGCATGTGACTGTAACACGACAAAAAAGGCGCGGAATCAATGGAGAAAGGGAGTGGGGAGCAGAGGCACACCTCTATGGTGGCAATGGACTCAAGGATGCGGTGCAGGAAGAGAGACTGAGATGGAAGACAAGCGAGTGACGGGACAAGGAAGCGAGTGACGGGACAAGGAAGTGGGGAACAGGGGCGCACCTCAATGGTGGCAATGGACTCGAGGATGCCGTGCAGGAAGAGAGATTGAGATGGAACATTTTTTATGTACATGGAGACAAGGAAATGACGAGCACAAGGGAGGGAGTAATAGAAGCTCACCTCAATGGTGGCTATGGACTCCAGAATGCCGTGCAGGAAGAGAGCGTCGTCAGCAGGGCGAGGAGTCAAGCTGCACGGAGCGAGAGAGGAAAGGTATGAGTAATCCGACCCAGTGATTGGCTGGTAGTGCCATCGAATACCATGCGTGGGTGCACAGGAGCAAGACCATGTGCCGTGCAGGAAGAGAGCGTCGTCAGCAGGGCGAGGAGTCAAGCTGCACGGAGCGAGAGAGGAAAGGTGTGAATTATCCACTTCAGAGACAATCCTGTGAGGCTGGCTGTGCGATCAAATGGGTGGATGCCATGAGTGGGGGCACACGGACAAGACCATATGGCAGCTAGGTATGAATCCGAGCCTGCTCACTCACCGAGGCTGCAGGTCAGGGTCGGACACGGGGAACCTCTCCCCTGGTCGTGTGAGTGGGTAGTAATCGAGTTTACTCTCTACACTCGGGTCTATTTTTGCACTCAGCTCCCTCAGTTGCTCGTCTGTGAAATGCTCCCGCAGCACTGCGCCGCCCGTATTTGACGCCCCACCGACCAGCCACTTGCATTCCTTGTCTTCTTCTGCAACACCTCCCTGTTCCGCCCCCCCATCGTTCTCCGCCTCGGGCGGCGCCCAATTCCCGGGCGGCAAGCGGTGGCTGTATACGCCAAAACGAGCATCGTCGATTCTCGCAGTGCTGACGAGCTTGACTGCGAGGGTAGAGCCGAGGGAGGTGACGGCATACCCGGGGGTAGTTACCCTCGCGGCCAGAAAGGCAGCAATGCTGTCGGTGGTGCCGGTGGTGACGATGCAATCAGACGGGAGGGCTGCCAGGGAGGGATGGAGCAGGTGGAGATGGTTAGAGTGTGATGGTCAGAGTGTGATGGTCAGAGTGTGATGGTCAGAGTGTGACCAGTGCGAGTGACCATACATAAGAGTTACATACATGGCTCATAGCATGACACACTCATAGCATGACATAAAAGACTAAAACCAGCAGCAAGCGTGTCCACACACAAAGCCCCCCCAACTCCGCTCACCAAACTCGGCCGTCAGTCAGGTGGCAGCACACGTGGCAGCATGGGAAAGAGCGGCGGCTGCAATTTGTGTCCTCACAGTGCCAATAAGGAAGCCCGGCTGCAGCACGAATGGCAGCATATAGCTCTCATAGACAAACAAGTCACCTCACACCACCTCTCATGCTAGCCTCCACCACTGCTCATAGCACTGGGGGCAGCATAGCCTCTACCCCTTGACTCACCAAACTCGGCTGTGAGATGTGCTCCCACCGTGCCAATGAGGGAGCCGGGCGGCAGCACGCGCGGCAGCATGGGTGCAAAGGGCAGTGCGAGCAGCCAGTCGGGGTAGGCGCTGCTCTCAGGGTCGTAGCCCAGCTGAACGAGGAGGGGGCGGGGGTTGTGGTGGGGCGAGAGGAAATGGGGGAGGTGAATTCTGAGTAATTCAGAAAAAATGCCAGCCAGTCAGGATAGGTGCGGCTCTCAGGGTCGTAACATAACAGGTGGGGCGGGGGAGGCGGAGAGAGGAAATGGGGTAGGTGAATCCTGATTATGTGAGGATTTACGGCAGCCAGTCGGGATAGGCAGTGCTCTCAGGGTCGTATCGTAGCCCAGCTGAAGTGGGGAGGAGCGGGGAGGTGTATTTGGGGGAGGCGTACTCCTGACATGATTGTTGAAGCCAGTGCCGTGCACGTCTGCCGCCCCGCTCAGCTATTTCAGCAGCTCGTTAGCAGCAATGACCCCATGCCGCCAACACCACCATCACACCACCACCATCTCGCACCTTGAGCGCATTATTGAAGTCTGTGACATGCACGTCCGCCGACCCACACAGCTGGCTCCGCAGCTTAGTGGGAATATACGCGTATAGCGTATATATGCGTATCGTATATACGCTAACGTATATACGCTAAACGCTGAAGGGTCGGCTTTGGGAATCCACTTTTTCGGGCAGGAAAAAAAATCCCGGGCAGGGTGAAAAACAATGTCGTGCTCAACATCGGGAAGGTATTCCATATTCTCACTAAGAATTTCGTAGCATTCTCCTAAGTCTGAACTTCGATTAGGGTGGGATGTGTAGTAGACACTATCGCTAGAAGGAAAAGTAGGAATCGGGATGAGTTCTGTTGGGAAGCGGGAAATGTCGAGTGCAGCTGGGCTGGCTGGTTAGTAGTGTGAGTGGGGTTTGTTGGGGGGACGTTTTTGACAGGTTGGAGTTCGTAGATGGGATGGATTTCAATGCAGTACTAAACAAAATTGTAGATCTGAACTGCCAGACGCAATTGTAAGGCACATTCCCGCTTCCCTACAACCCCGAATTGCACCTCGACTTCCGCGAAATGCTCACCAGGAGATTCCGCATCTTTCCGTATACACATGAATTTTTTTCCCGGGCAGCCCCTAAAAAAATCTGAAAGCGTATAGCGTATTAGCTAGCGTATAGCGTTTTGCGTATGAACGCAAGCGTATATACGCTATACGCTTTAGGTTCTGAGCGTATATTCCCACTAAGCTCCGCAGCTCATAAGCAGCACAGCACTCCCCCATGGCACCACCACCATCCCCCCACCATCTCACCGCCATCCCATCCCACCACCACCATCTCGCACCTTGAGCGCATTATTGAAGTCAGTCACATGCACGTCCGCTGCTCCACACAGCTGCCCCAACAGCCAGTCCGCCTGATGCACCATCACCACCTCCCCCTCTCCCTCCCCTTCCCCTCCTCCTCCACCTCTTCCCCCTCTCTCCCCCTCCCCACTCTCCTCCCCCTTCTCCCCTCCCTGCTTCAACCACCACGTCATCAGCTTGCACAGCGTGGACGTGCCAGCTGTCGTCGTGTGATTGGCCGGCGCCACTGCCGCCACGGCAGCCACGGCCTCAGCGCTGCCCGCCTCGTTGTACATCATGGGGCAGGCCACGGGCTCACGGGTAGTTCTGGTGGGAAGGCAGGAGAGGAGAGGAGAGGAGCGTTGGGTTGATCTCTTCAGTTGGCCGGCCTGCCTGCCTCCGCGCTGCCCGCCTCGTTGTACATCATGGGGCGGGCCAGGGGCTCGCCGGTAGACATGGGAATTGGAGGAAGAAAGAGAACCGGGGAAGGGGAGAGACACTGAACCACATTGCACCATATTGCACCACACTGTCACCTGCTTCCTTGGATCGACTGTCCCCACGTCATCTGCACCGCACTGCACCCATGCAGATGCTCTCTCACCGGCCGACGACCATGGTGGTCGCAGACGTGCCGTCCAGCGACACCGCCTCCACTCGCCACCACATGTCACCTGTACCGCACTGCACCGCTCTCACCGGCTCACGACCATGGTGGTTGCGGACGTGCCGTCCAGCGACACTGCCGCCACTCGCCGCCTCAGCTCCTCGGGAATGTCGCGCAACAGTCCAAACAACGCCGCCCGCCACCCCTCCGCTGCTGACACGTCATCGTCCGGGTCGGTGGTGACGCCGACTGCTGACTCGGATGCTGACTCAGCATGGGCGGCAGGAGGGTACTTCCTCTTGACGTCAGCGAGAATGGCTGCGTTGCCATCAATAACAACAGCACGCGCCCCGGACGTGCCGAAATCAAATCCCAGGAAAAGAGGAGACGATTCGGCTGCTGACGTGGACGCCCGCACTAGGACGGCGCCGCCGGGTTGCCGGACACGTGGCATTGCCTTCAAGCTGCCACGTGGCAGCATTCTCCAGGATTGGCCTTCAACAAACGGGTTGTTCAGGCGGTTCCTGCGTGGTCGGCCTATCCCCGTCCACCAATTAGGTTGCTCCACGTGGCGATTGGAGCCGCATTCCCCTCCCACGGTCGTGCTGATTGCTGGGGCGGCAACGTTGCTGTGACTATAGCAATGGGTCGCATTATGATTCCGAGAGCGAGCATGCGGGAGAGTGCGGCGGAGAGCGAGAGTGCGAGCGTTACTGCAGGGGGATTCAAGGCGTGCGGAGGTCGAGGCAGGGTGGGGACGACAATGCGCATTCCGCGGCAACGCGCCGCAGGTTGGGGAAGCCATAAAATGCAAGGGCATGAGAAAAGAAGGAACAGTAAAAAAATAGTTGACTTATTTTATAATTTGGGATTCCAACCGCGGGCGTTTGGTCTAGTGGCATGATTCTCGCTTAGGGTCCGAGAGGTCCCGAGTTCAATTCTCTGAACACCCCGTTATACACACCAAACTTTTGACGCCACTGGACCTCTGATTTTACTGTCTGACTCTGAATGGGACTAGAAGGAAGCCTGGGTGAAGGAACAACTGGCATAGGGCACTAAATCCAACAGTGAGTTGCAAGGCTTACTTTGCAATGCATCAATGCACAAGATTTAACAGTCCTCCCCTCCCTTCTATTTACTGTACTTTTTTTCCCTAGTAGGTATGCAATACACAACAGGATCTTAACAGATCCCTCGTGATTCCTATGTACCGTTGTGCTATGCGCCTTGATTAACTTTCTGGTGATGTCCCCCGTACCGTATCTCAATGGGCTGTTGTGTTGTGCCTGTGTGTGCTACCACACGGGTATGGTGCTGCTACTGCACAAGCACTTGAAGCAGAGGTGCGAGGAGCATGAATAACCCAGCCAGGGCCTGACTGCGTGTGCTGGTGCTACCGTGCGGGCTGGCTGTAGTGTGTGTGCAGGTGGCGTGGCGTGGGAGGGAGGCGCCACAAGCACGAGAGTGACGCGCATGTGTCAAGCCGACTGGCGTGTGCTACTCCTACCGTGCGGGCTGGCCACAGTGTGTGTGCAGGTGGCGCGTGAGGCACTTTAACCCCTGTTGTGGGTTGTATGTACCGCACAGGCAGGGCTGAACCGAGTGTGCTGCTACAACTGCTAGGGATGGCTTGCCCTCATGTGCTGCTGCTACCGTGCTGGCTGCCCATAGTGTGTGCGCAGGTGGCGTGGCCTGGGAGGCGGTACAAGCACGAGAGTGACGCGCATGTGTCAGGCTGACTGGCGTGTGCTGGTGCTACTGTGCAGGCACAGGAGGGGTGTGAAGCACTTAAAGCCCAGCTCTGGGGTGTGTGTAACACGCAGGCAGGTCTGAACCGAGTATGCTGGTGCAACTGCTAGGGCGGGCTTGCCCTCGTGTGCTGCTGCTGCTACCGTGCTGGCTGGTGATAGTGTGTGCGCAGGTGGCGTGGAGTGGGAGGCGGTACAAGCACCAGAGTGACACGTATGTCCCCTCTGCCTGCTGCTACCGCGCTGGCTGGCGATAGTGTGTGCGCAGGTGGCGTGTGAGGCGCTGCGAGCATTGATGTGGGGAGTATGTCGCCTCTGCCTGCTGCTACCGCGCTGGCTGGAAATGTGTGCGCAGGTGGCGTGTGAGGCACATTAAGCCCTGCTCTGGGGTGTTCTGGTATTTACCATGCAGGCAGGGCTGACCCGCATAGGCTGCTGCTACCGCGCTGGTTGGCCGTAGTGCGTGCGCAGGTGGCGTGTGAGATCCACCTTGTACCCAAACGCCCTCCCACACTCCGTGAAGCTGCACGGGAGGAAGGGGAGGGAGGAGGAAGGGGGGAGACAGAGGGCGTTGAGGAAGGAAGCAAGGTGGGAATGAGAGTGTGTACGCAGGTCGCGCGAGAGGTCCACCTTGTACCCAAACGCCCTCCCACACTCCGTGAAGCTGCAAGGGAGGAAGAGGGGGGGGGGGAAGTCGGGACAGAGGGCATTGAGGAAGGAAGCAAGGTGGGAATGAGAGTGTGTACGCAGGTCGCGCGAGAGGTCCACCTTGTACCCAAACGCCCTCCCACACTCCGTAAAGCTGCACGGGAAACGTGGGACGGAGGGGCGGGACAGAGGGGGCTGAGAAAATAGGGCAGGTGGGAATGGGACTGTGCGTGCAGGTGGCGTGTGGTACCGAAACGCCCTCCCACACTCCGTAAAGCTGCAAGGGAGAGGTGGTTAGGAGAGGGAGGAGGGCATGGCAAAGGGAGTGTGTGTGTGTGTGTGTGTGTGTGTGTGTGTGTGTGCGCAGGTGACGAGTGAGATCTGAATTGTGCCCAAACGCCCTCCCACACTCGGAGACGATGCAGGGGACAGGGAGAACGGATGGGATCGAAGGAGAGGTGTTGGGACAACCTCTGGAGGGAATTAGCATGGATAGCAGGCGCTGGCACGTGCCACGTGGTAGCATGCTATGGGATAGGTGGCTGTGAAAATGTTGGCGCAGTGAAGCAAGGGAAGGACGGGAAGCGGACAGAGCAGGAGCAAGCAACGCGTGTCACGAGCAGTGGAAGGGCTTCTCCCCCGTGTGTGTGCGCAGGTGGCTTTTGAGTCAAGTCACAAGGCAAATAACAGCCAAGCGATTCTCACTCAAAGGTAAGAAATGGGAGACACATGAGCAGTGGAAGGGCTTCTCCCCTGTGTGCGTGCGCAGGTGGCTTTTGCAGTGGAGCATTAGCATGAGCATAAGCAGTGGAGGGGCAATTGCAGGGGTCACGAGCAGTGGAAGGGATTTTTCCCTGTGTGTGTGCGCAGGTGGCTTTTGAATGGACTGAAAAGGCAAGTGAGACTCACGAGCAGTGGAAGGGCTTCTCCCCCGTGTGTGTGCGCAGGTGGCCTTGCAGCGAGTTGACTCACAAGGCAAGTAACAGGCAAACAACTCTTGAGATGACTCAAAGGGCAAGCAATGTGAGGCTCACGAGCAGTGGAAGGGCTTCTCCCCTGTGTGTGTGCGCAGGTGGCTCGTGAGTCGAATCACAAGGCAAATAACGGGCAAGCAAATCTCGAGACGGCTCAAAAGGCAAATGAGTCTTGTGATTACTGAAAAGGCAAGTGAGGCTCACGAGCAGTGGAAGGGCTTCTCCCCTGTGTGCGTGCGCAGGTGGCCGTGTAGCGAGTTGCTCCACTTGAACGTCTTCTCACACCCCTCCCACGGGCACTGCAACGGCCGCTCGTCGCTGTGCGTGCGCTGATGCACCACCTGCTTGTTTCAGTTAGGGGGGAAAGGGGGTTGTAGGGGATGAGGGAATGGAGGAAAGAAAGTAAAGGTAACCTCCCACGGGCACTGACAGGGACGCTCGTCGCTGTGCGTGCGCTGATGCACAACCTGAGGGAGGGGGAAGGGTTGGAGAGGAAGGGAGAGGGAGTGAGGAAAGGGAGTGTGAAAGTGATAAGCCTCCTCTGTTTTGAGAGGTCACAAAGAGCAGGGGGGCGAGCAGCACATGAGAGCACAGAGAGGCGAGCAAGGGCAGAGACTGAACCAGTGACCCTTGTCTTCTTCAACTCACCAGCCGCTCTCTGAAGGCAAACCGCTTGCCACACCCCGGCACCGCACAGGCGTGCAAGCACTCGTGCTTCTTGACATGCCGCCCCAGCAGCTGCCTGGTGGCCATGCAAGGCAGAAACCTAACCAGTGCTTCAACTCACCAGCCGCTCTCTGAAGGCAAACCGCTTGCCACACCCCGGCACCGCACAGGCGTGCAAGCACTCGTGCTTCTTGACATGCCGCCCCAGCAGCTGCCTGGTGGCCATGCAAGGCAGAAACCTAACCAGTGCTTCAACTCACCAGCCGCTCTCTGAAGGCAAACCGCTTGCCACACCCCGGCACCGCACAGGCGTGCAAGCACTCGTGCTTCTTGACATGCCGCCCCAGCAGCTGCCTGGTGGCCATGCAAGGCAGAAACCTAACCAGTGCTTCAACTCACCAGCTGCTCTCTGAAGGCAAACCGCTTGCCACACCCCGGCACCGCACAGGCGTGCAAGCACTCGTGCTTCTTGACATGCCGCCCCAGCAGCTGCCTGGTGGCCATGCAAGGCAGAAACCTAACCAGTGCTTCAACTCACCAGCCGCTCTCTGAAGGCAAACCGCTTGCCACACCCCGGCACCGCACAGGCGTGCAAGCACTCGTGCTTCTTGACATGCCGCCCCAGCAGCTGCCTGGTAGCCATGCGCTCGCCACAGCCGTGCACAGAGCACTGGTAGGGGCGCTGCCCCGAGTGCTCGTTCAGGTGGTCTTTGAGCGACCCGGGTGTGGCAAACTTGCGCGGGCAGCCGGTGTGTGGGCAGATGTGTGCACGCTCGCTCGCTGCTATCAGCCTCTTCGTTTCCTGTAGCATCTGAGGAGAGGGGGGAGAAGCATAGAGGCAGGAATGAGAGCGGCAGAGAGGGCAGCCCGTGTGCGGACAGATGTGTGCGCGCTCGCTCGCTGCTATCAGCCTCTTCGTTTCCTGTAGCATCTGAGGAGAGGGGGAGGGAACGAGAGGAAGGAAGTTGGGAAGAGAGAGGGGGACAAACCGCCCCAAGGCAGCATGAGCATTCACAAGAACAGCCACGTGATTGAAGAAGTGTTTTGAGACGTCTCAAATCACAAGAACACGTGCTCGCCCACTCGCTCGCTCCTATCACACACCCCTCTCCCCTCCCATCTCACCTGCTCCATCTGCGCCACTGTCAGCTCCTCCCATGGGGTCTCCTGCAACCCGCCACCCGCCTCTCCTCCCCCTGCTGCATGTGCTCCCTGTTGTGCCCCTTGGGGCCCCTCTGCTCCTCGTGCTCCCTGCACCACTCTGTCTGCCCCGTGTGTCCCCTCACTTGCGCTACCAGTCATAGCAGACTGAGCAGCAACAGCAGCAGCACCACCAGCACTAGCAGACGCACCGCCCCCTGGCCCTGCGGCCATGCCAGCAGCCTCCAGAGCCATGCGGTACGTCGCTGCCAGCTCGTATGCATCGGATCCACGGAGCTGCTCCGGCCTGCACTCAGGGGGAAAGGAGTGGAACACAGGGAGCATGGGGAAGGGGAGGATGTGTGTGCTTGTCCCAGAGCCATGCGGCATGTCAATGCTAGCTCGTATGCATCTGATCCCCTCAGCTGCTCCGGCCTGCAAATGGGCCAAACAGGTGGTGCAAGGAAGTTGCTTGTCTGGTACTTTGGACAGAAGAGGCCAACCCGACCACAATCACTGTCACACCCATTTAAATCAATAGACCACTCACTTCATAGCCCGCTCATTTCAATGTCCCACCGACTCACTTCATTGACCCACCCGTGCCATTCTCCCACTCACTGGATTCGCTTCCACTTGGAAAGAGCCAGCCTGCGAGAGAGAGACGCAACCCTCCCCTTCACGCCCGCCCTCTCCCCCTCCCCCTTGCCCCCTTCCTTCTCCGCCCCCCCTCTCCCCCGCCCGCACCCACCTCCCCTCACCGCCCTCTCTCCTCCCCCTCCTCCCCCACCTCTCCCGCTCTCTCCCCCCTCATCGTCTCCACTGTCTCGTGCCCCCTCCTCCTGTCCCCTTGCATTCCTCTCCTCCTGCCCACCACTCCGCCCCCCTCTCATTCCTCCCTCTTCTCCCAACCACTCCATACATGCACCCTCGTCAGCACCATCACATGCACCCCCATTCCCCTCCCCCTGCCTCCCCACCTGCTCCCCCTCCGCCCCTTCTCCCCTCTCCCGCCCTGAATTATGCGCTCTCTCTCCCCACACCTCTCCCCCCACCTCCCCCCCATCCATCTCCCCACGCTCCACTCGCCTCCTCTTTGCTCTCTGCTGCTCCACATCCCCATCAGCACCGTCTGTCCCACGCCGCTCTCCTCCCCTCGGCCCTGCCTTATCCCCACTGCAACGTGCCACCCGTCCGCTCCCCCTCATGCCATCTTCCCCCTCTCCCCCACTGCTCTCTGCCCTCTCTCTCTCCCCTGCTCTGTCCCCTCTGCTATGCCCTGTTTTCTCCCCTCTGCTCTGCCCTGTTCTCCCCCCTCTGCTCTGTCCTGCTGCCTGTCCCGCACCACTGCTCCCCCTCTCTCTGCTGATCTGTCCCCCTGTGGCGGCCAATGCAGCGTTCACCCAGCTCTGCACACTGCCCCCGTACCGATCTCGCACCAGGTGCATCAGCCGGGAAAAAACTGCCGGGGAAAGGAGAGCGGAAATTGGGAGAGGGGGGTGGGGGAAGCGGAGGGGGAGATTGTGGGGATGTTTATGGGAGGCAAGTGAACAAGCTGCACGGTGCAGCATGCAAGCAGTGCTGCAAAATGCCCGTGTGGGGAGGGACCATGGGAAAAGGGGGGACGTCAGGGGGAGCGGGGAAAAGCAGAAGCAAGGAAAGAATTATCCCACCTTATGTGCTAGTAGCGACTTAGCACATCCCCACAGCCATACAATCTACCGCAGTGTTTGTTCGTACTCTCATGCTCTCAGGTACCAGCAGCACACATACCAGCAGCACACGTACCAGCAGCACATGTACCAGCAGCACACGTACCAGCAGCACACGTACCAGCAGCATCAATGTCGACTTGCAGCCGCCTTGTTCCACCTGATGCTCCCACGTGCACATCCCTACCCCCCTGCACTCTCATTAACCCTCCTCTCTGCTGCTGCTGTTGCTCATGTTGCTGCTGTTCTTGCTGCCTCGCCAACCCTCCTCTCCTCTGCGCCCCCTCTGCTTGTGCCTCCACTGCTTCCGAACCCCCTACAAACTGCGTCCCCTCTGCCTGCGCCAGTTGCTGCAGCTGCTGATCCAAGGCCAGAGGCAGAAAGCCCTGCATGGATGCCCTGCCATGGCCTGCCTCAACACCAGCTGCCTCAACACCAGCTGCCCGTGCATTGAGAATGCCACTGCCATTGCAATTGGCATTGCGCTCCGCCTCTTGCTCCTGCAGTGGCTGTGCTCCCAGGACGCCAGGAGCAGCAGCGAGCCCAAGGACGTGGGCATGGGTATGGGCATGTGTATGGGCATGGGATGGCATGTGTTGCTGGGCGGGTGGGAACGGCTGATGGGCGTCATGTACGGACGTGGGCATGGGTATGTGTTGCTGCTGCCTTGGATCACCATGCATGCGGTGCTGCTCGTGCTGCTGATGCTGCTCGTGATGTTGATAGTGCTGCCGCGCAAGCTCCTGGCCTTCGTTACAGCCTCCATGCTGTTGCTCTTGCCGCTGCTGCTCGTCATTCCCATTGTGATCCGCAATCCCAAGGTCGCCTTCAGACCGTCCGTACAGCATCACTGCATACTCCAACACCCCCTCTGCATCTGCCACTCCCCCCATCCCTCCCTCTCCCACCATCGCATCTGGGCCGTCCATTACATGCCCTTCTTCGCCAATCCCAAGGTCCTCTACAGTAATTTCATCATCATCATCAACATAATTATCATCATTAAGATCACCACCACCATCACTATCAGCATCAACATCACCATCACCATAATTCCCATCAGCATCCCCATCCCCATCCCCATCCCCATCACCATCACCACCATCACCAGCAGCAGCAGCATCCCTCCCTTCAATCGCATCATCCCTTACTGCCATACCATCCCCTCCCACAGCCGATATCCCACCATCCCCCACCGCTAAACCACACCCCTCCTCCCCCATGTCACAGGCCCCGCCCTCCCGCTCCTCCTCCTCCCCCTCCCCTTCTCCCTCTCCCCTTCCCCTCCCCTCCTCTCCCTCTAGTAGCTCCACCCCCACCACCCCCTCCCCCTCCTCTCTTTCCCCATTGTCACACTCTACTCTCTCATCTACACCATTCTCCTCTGATTGGCCCGCAGCTTCCCTCTCTTCCCCCAGTTCTCCCCGGCCCCTCCCTTCCTCTGCGCTACGCTCCGCTCCCCCCCGCTCCAAATACCCCGAATCGCGCAGCGCCGCTGCTCCGCCATTCAGTGCGCGCGCGCTTTCCTCGGGCCTCCCCTCCGCGCTTTCCATGCCTCCGCCACCGCTTCCGCGCGTAAACTGCGGGTCCCGACAAGGGGCCTCGTGCGCCGGGGTTAATGGGGGCGTTCTCCCGTGAAGCGCGGGACTCGCGCCGGGAATTGTGCCGGAAATTCCACCGGGAATCGCGCCAGAATGCCCGACAACAATTCCATCGAGATTGCCGTGCGCTGCGACCGCATATCCCGCGTGGTGCAAGGGGGAAATGTACGGGTAGTGGGGGAAGGGGAGATGCGCCAAGTGCGCGTGCGTGTGGGGGAAAAGTTCCCCTGCGGGCGCAAAGTGAGGCGGAAAAGTCGCGGACAGGGGGAGCGGGGGGAGATGGGGGAGCTGATAATGGGGGAGGGGGAGATGATGCGCGTGCGGGGGGAGCGACGGAAGGAGAGAAGGAGGATGAGGGGTGAAGCTGTTATGGTGGAGTGGGGGGAAAGCAGCAGAAGGATCGTGCGGAAGCTGCGCCATGGCGAATTATGGGTGAGAACTGCTTGTGACGAGAATGGCGGGAATGACGAGAGAGCGACGAGTGTCTAACAACGGGAATTACGGCTTGCAGTCCGTGCACATGACGTCAGTACGTGAGCCCGTGACGACACTTGTTGCAGCCGTCCACATGACGTCAGATAGACCGAATGGCTGCGACGAGTCGACAGGCGAGAAGCGGAATTGTCGCAATGGTGGTGACGAGACAAACGACTGGGAGCTGAGGAACTGGCGACGAGAAATCTAACGCAAGTCGGCAAACACTACCGGGACTGCCGGCATGCGACTAAAACTGCCAGTATGCGACCAGAAACGCCAGTACGCGACCCGGACCGCGAGCATGCGACTAGTAATGGCAGAAAAGGATCATCTCTATGGATGAAATTTGTCAACAGACGCGCGGGATGATATCAGGGAGGCCCAGGCTCGTGAACCATTGCCTAACCTCGTTATAAAGTAGGACTCACAACGTATAAAAAAACGGGACACACTAATTAACACAAATATGAAAACAATGACTAAGAATCTGTTGCACAAATCCCTAAATAGTTTCTAAAGGTGACAGCTTGCCACGGGTATGGTACATCTTGGTACTACTTACACAAATCTCACTCGCGCCACACCTCTATCTCCCTAAGCTTGTGAACATTCAGCCTATCCTTTCCATGCATACTTCGAAGCAGACCGCCTTCCTTAGCCTCTTTGAGACCAACCCTGCCGTTGCAACGTATCCAAGCCTAACCTCTCACCCCTCGATTCCCGGGACCTATCCAAGCCAAACCGTACCTCTTCCCCATTGCGACCTCACCTCGGCCCTAGGGCTTATGAGCGCACGCACCATCATTACCTTGCGTAGTCCAAAATCACACCCACCGTCAACAACTCAACATGTTGAACCCGTGGGGTGTCCTATCCTATCCTACCTAGTGGGTGTAGTGGGGGTCCTTGGTGGGGTGGGTGTGCCTAGCTCTCCCCCCGCTCCTCCCCCTCCTCTCGCCCCCGCCGCACCATTCCCCTCGTCCCCAACCGGCAGGGTCATCAGCTGCTGCAGAGTCTTGATAAGATTCTCCATCTGCGGCCGTCCAGCCGGATCCTCGTTGATACAGTGCTTCGCGAGAACGAGCAGTTTCTGCGCGCCCACGCGCGAGTATTTGTCCTCTAGCCGCTCGTCCATGACTGCCTCGAGATTCGGGCGGCGCTGCGCCACGTGTGCGCGCACCCACGTCGTCAGCTTGCAGTCGTCGTTGTCGCCTCCAGACGAGGGAGGCCGGCCGGTGAGGAGCTCGAAGTACACCACTCCGAGAGCATATATGTCACTCTTTGGGGTGAGATGGCCTGGTGGAGGCAAGTTAGAAAGGGAAGGAGGGGGGGTTGTTTGTGGGAGGGGGGGTGTATGGGGAAAGCAGAGCTGGTGAGGACCTCAAAGTAGACCACTCCGAGAGCGTAAATGTCACTCTTTGGGGTGAGATGGCCTGACAGGGGCAAAGGGCGGATTGGGGGAGGGGGGCGTGGAGGGGGAAGGCAGGCTGGTGAGGAGCTCGAAGCAGACCACACCACACCAAGAGCGTAAATGTCACCTTCTGGGGTGAGATGGTCTGGTGGGGATGAGGTGGGGAGGGAGGGGGGGTGTGTGGAGAGGGAGCGTGTAAGGGGAAGGCAAGCCGGTGAGAAGGTCGAAGTAAACCGCTGTGAGAGCATAGATGTCACTCTTCACGCTGAGAAGGCCTGGTGGGGCACGAGGGGAAAGCATGAGCATGAGCCAATGAAGGTGGCCCCAATGAAGGTGGCCCCAAGGAGGAGGAGGGATGAGATGGACTGCTGGGGATGAAGAGCGGCGATTTTTTAGCATCTCAAGCACATCTAAAAAATGAAGGTGGCCCCAAGGAGGAGGAGGAGGAGGAGGGATGAGATGGTCTGCTGGGGATGAAGAGGGGCGAGGGGGATTGTGTGGGGAGGGGGGTGTGCAGGGGGGAGGTGGAGCTAGTGAGAAGCTTGAAGAAGGGAAGGGCATACAGGGGGTTCAGATGCAGTAGATCGAGCCGAGCAGCGCACGTGTTTCGAGGTACCACATGGTTCTCCTAATGCTTATTGAGGAGCCCCGCGAAGGGGTATAGGGAGATCGGATGCGGTGCTCCCATCCTACCTGTTTCGAGGTACTTGGGGTCGAGGTACCCCATGGTGCCCATGACGCGCGTGGAGATGTGTGTCTGCCCTGACTCTGGCCCCATCGTTGCCATGCCAAAGGGGCAATGGGATACAGTGCACCGCAACGGGACACAGTGCACCCACCGTACCTGCCACGTAAGCATACCGAGTCCTACCTGTCTCGAGGTACTTGGGGTCGAGGTACCCCATGGTGCCCATGACACGCGTTGAGATGTGTGTCTGCCCTGACTCCGGCCCCATGGTCGCCATGCCAAAGTCCGTCAGCTTCGCCCGCATCTCCTGCCATGCCATGGGTGCCATGTGGATGGGAGCACGGTGGGAGGAAGGAAATGGGGAGAAGATGGGGAGGAGATGAATTGAGACATCTCAAGTAGGTTAGGTTGCTCATTCTCAGGCAAGGACAGACATACCGCATCCCACAGCATCCCACAGCATCCCACCACATCCCACTGCAGCGCACCTTATCGAGCAGCACGTTGCAGGACTTGAAGTCGCGGTGAATGACGTTCTGTGAATGCAGATAAGCCAGGCCCTGTGTGGCGTCCAGGGCTATCCGCACGCGCTCCTCCCACGTGAGCGGGCGGTGCTTGTACTTGCCCGTGTGGTCGTCTGGAGGTTCAACAAGGGAAGAGAGGAGGGGGGAAGAGGAGAAGTGGGCATGTAAGGCACACAGGGTTATCCCCACACGCTCCTCCCAGGTGAGCAGACAGTGCAGTGCTTGCACTCTCCCGTGTGGTCGTCTGGAGGGGTACGAGGAGATCAGGATGGGGACAGGTGGGAGCCGAGCAGACCAAGGAGGCTATTCGCTCCTCCCTCTTCCTGGGAGCACGTGCTCCTCCCACATGAGCGGACGGTGCTTGTCCTCTCCTGTGTGGTCGTCTGGAGGGATAAGGCAGAGGGGGTTGGGGAAAAGGAGGGGACAGAGGAGAAGGGAAAATGGTAAGGCACACGGGGTCATCTGCACGCGTTCTTCCCAGGTGAGTGGATGGTGCTTGTACTCGCCTGTGTAGTCGCCTGCTGCTTGTTCGACACGGGAGGGAGAAGGGGGCCCAGTGGGAGGATGGGATGGGGATGAGGGGGTGTAGGGAGAAGGAAAAGGAAAGCATAATGCATTTGTGATGCAAGGAAGACATGAGGAGAGGAGAAGAGACGAGAGCAGGAGAGGAGGGGAGAGTAGAGAGGAGAGGAGAGGTGAGGAGAGGAGAGGAGAGGAGAGGAGAGGAGAGGAGGACATGGGCTAAGTTGCCAAAAACGCTCAGACCTGTTTGCGTTTAGCGGATATCCGCTTGCGTATACACGCAACACGCTATACGCAAGCGAATCCGCTATACGCTCGACAAATTTGTTTTGGGGCAGCCCGGGCGGAAAAAAAAAATCGAATATACGGAAAGATGCGGAATTTCACGGTGTGCATTTTGCCGAAGGCGAATTGCACGTACGTGACTCGTCCAATCGTGGACGTGGGTTCAACCCACATAGTCGCGATTGGTGGTGTCAATTTTACAAGTCGCATTTTCACGTTCACACATTGTGCGCTCTGTTTGTTACCGCATTCAATCCCCACCCATCTACTCTCTCCAACCACTTGTCTCAATGTTCCCTTCTCTCGTTGTGCTATTTAGTTGGTTGCACGCAACTACGCAATTCATCAGTTTCCCATCTCGCTCATTATGTCTAGCCCGCCATGCACACCGCCATCCGTTCAGACAGTGCAGAGTTCCCGGAGTGTTCAACCTGAGGGTGGGGAGTACCTTCCCGTCATGGACCACGCTGTCTTCAAACATTTCAGCATCATTAAGCGGGTTGAAGGCAAAGCACAGCAGTACGAGTGTTAGTACTGCTTCAATGTTTTCACCGGTGCAGTCATTCGTTGCGCGCAGCACCTGAGCTCGTGGAAGGGAATGAAGCGTCGCGAGGTGATGCTTTGCAAGGAGGCACCGCAAGACGTACGCAAGGAGATGCGCACCAAATACGAAAACCTGGCTGCCGCGAACGAGGAAAAGCGCCGAGCAACATCTGCTGCGGTTGCGGCGGTCCAGGCTGGCGGTGGGAAGCGGCGCATAACCGACTACTTGGAGGGAGATGCTGCTGCGGCTAAGCGGGATGCTCACGAGGGCCTTGCGCTGATGTTTGCGGCCTGCAGAATCCCGGAGATCACCATAAACCACCCGCTGTTCGTCAACGCCATGCTGCTCGTCAACCGCGCCGGCCCCGGCTACGTCCCCCCCAAGAGGAGCTTCATTGGCGGGGCTGGACTAGTCGCTGTCCGCAAAGGGATTGAGCAGGGGCTGATGGGGATTAAAACGAGCTGGAAGAAGACGGGGGTAACAATTGCGTCCGACATGATGACGGACAAATGTGGGAGGGCGCAAGCGAACGTCCTTCTGATTAACGACTCCGGCACCGTCTTCAAGGAGGCGATCGACTGCGGTATGGAGCGTAAGACGGGGGGATACGTAGCGGGGATTCTGCAGCCGGTGGTGGAGGAGGTAGGACCAGAAAATGTGGTCGCGTTTTGTATGGATGGGGGATCGAACTATGCCGTGGCTGTCCAGGAGCTGATTGCCAAGTGGCCCCACATTCAGCAGGTCCCTTGTGCCACGCATGTGATGGATCTCCTCCAGGAGGACGTGGGAAAGATGGGGTGGGCAAAAGGGGTGGTGGATCGGACAAGGGAGATGATTTCGTTCGTGCGCAACCATCATTGGACGCGCGCTTACCTGAGGACCCCGGAGTTGGTGGAGGGGAAGGTGCTGCAGCCGCTGAAGCCGGCGGGAACACAGTTCGGGACACAGTACATTGCTGTGTCCCGCCTTTGTGAGTTGCGTAGCACCCTGAGCGCGATGGTACTTACCGACAGGTGGAAGGAGTGGGCCGTGGGGTCGCGGAAGGAAGCTGCCGAGACCTTTGCTGCTCGGGTCCTCGATGCCGCATGGTGGCGGACAGCTGAATTCTTCTGCAAGCTGATGAAACTGCCCTACAAGGCGATGCGGCAAACAGACGCAGATGCCAAGGGGATGATGCGCCGGCTTTACGATGTAATGCTGCAGCTTACGGAGGATGTCAACAACCTCTTGGACGAGGATGAGGAGCACCTGAGTAGCACGGACAAGGTGCAGATCCGTCGCATCATCAAGAACCGTTGGGATAACAACCTCGCCTGCGCCATGCACGTTGCTGGCCGAATCCTCACGTGGAGTTCCTCATCGGCCACGACGGGAAGGGGAGGGAGGAGGGTGTTGATTACTTGCTTGCCTTGGGTGACGGGCTGAGGGCTTTCTTGGACCTGAAAGGAAGTTTCGGGATGCCGGAGGCGCTTGCACAAAGGGCGAAGGTGAAGGCGGGTAAATACAGCATGGTGAAGTGGTGGCAGTGGAACGGCACAGATGCACCTCACCTGATGTCTCTCGCCGTGAGGGTGCTCTCTCAGCCTGTATCGGCATCCCCTTGTGAGCGTGGGTGGGGAACTTGGGATGCAGTTCACACAGCCCGCCGGAACCGCCTCGGATATGCAAAGTGCCAGGACCTGGTTTTTGTTGCACACAACTGGAATGTTGTGCGCAACTGGCACTCGCGCGCAGATGTAATGCCGAACCTTGTGCCAGGGATTGGGGACGAGCCTCCTATCCCCGAGGGGTACAACGGGTTGGATGAGACGGAGGTGGAGGAGGAGGAAGGCGAGGATGACGTGCTGGAAGACGAGTATGCATAGAACAAGGTTTAAGGTGCGGGGGGGCATGTGGAATGTTGCGGGGAGGCTGGTTTATGTTCTCATGTCTTAGTCGTGGTGGTAGGAGAGCATTATTGTAGCATGGCCGCATCGTGTCGGAATCATAATATGGGGAAAAAAAAATCACACAGCCGAAACCCCCAACATACCCCCCCTCAAACATCCCTCGGGCTTTTTTTCCCTTGCCCGGGAAAAGTTTTTTACTGCCCGAAATAGCGTATGGCCAAAGTGACCCCTTAAGCGGATAGCGTGCATACGCTAGCGTATATACGATGAGCGTATATACGCTATAAGCGTATATGGCAACTTAGGACATGGGAGGAGCATATAAGAGAGGAGCGAATAGGAGAGGAGAGAGGAGAGCAGCAGAGCACGCAGCACCAGGAAAGAGGCAGAAGTGGGGGGTAGGGGTACCTGGGAAGAGCCAGGAGTCAAGGCTGCCATTCTCGAGCAGCTCATACACCAGCACTGCCTCGTCCCTGTCCGTGCTGTACCCCAGCAGCCGCACCAGGTTTGGGTGCTGTAGCCGCCCCAGCAGTAGCACCTCCGCCTGGGAACACACAGGGAGTGGTGGGAGAGAGAAGGGGAGGGAGGGAGGGACATGGAGGCTTGTCCCTGTCCGTGCTGCAGGCGACCCAGCAGCAGCACCTCCGCCTGCAGATGGCAGTGGTGAAAGGCAGAGAGCAAGACCAGGAACGAGAGGGAGAAGGGAAGAGTGGAGGATGAGCCTCGTCCTTGTCCGTGCTGTAACCCAGCAGCCGCACCAGGCTCGGGTGTTGCAGGCGCCCCAGTAGCAGCACCCCCGCCTGGGAACAGGAGTGTGGGAGGGGTAGCGGGAGTAGCGGAAAGAAGGGCACATAGCTGAAGCCACTCCCCATCCACCCACCATCGCCCCCTTCCCCTTCTCACCATCCCCCCGTTCTCCCACTCACCGTCCCCCTCCCCACCCAATCGTCATCCACTCACCATTCCCCCCATTCCCTCACTCACCATTCATCCAACCCCATCATCCCCACCCCCCTCCTCTCACCATCCACTCGCCGAAGCCCTGGAAGCTCTCCTCATCCAGCATCTTGATCGCCAGGGGGCGCTTCTCACCATACCTCTCGTCCCCCCCATCCCCCCGGCCCCTTTTTTTTCCTCTCTCCACCATATTTCCCCCCCGCTCTCACCATCCACTCGCCGAAGCCCTGGAAGCTCTCCTCATCCAGCATCTTGATCGCCAGGGGGCGCTTCTCACCATACCTCTCGTCCCCCCCACCCCCCCGGCCCCTTTTTTTCCCTCTCTCCACCATATTTCCCCCCCGCTCTCACCATCCACTCGCCGAAGCCCTGGAAGCTCTCCTCATCCAGCATCTTGATCGCCAGGGGGCGCTTCTCACCATACCTCTCGTCCCCCCCATCCCCCCGGCCCCTTTTTTTTCCTCTCTCCACCATATTTCCCCCCCGCTCTCACCATCCACTCGCCGAAGCCCTGGAAGCTCTCCTCATCCAGCATCTTGATCGCCAGGGGGCGCTTCTCACCATACCTCTCGTCCCCCCCACCCCCCCGGCCCCTTTTTTTCCCTCTCTCCACCATATTTCCCCCCCGCTCTCACCATCCACTCGCCGAAGCCCTGGAAGCTCTCCTCATCCAGCATCTTGATCGCCAGGGGGCGCTTCTCACCATACCTCTCGTCCCCCCCATCCCCCCGGCCCCTTTTTTTCCCTCTCTCCACCATATTTCCCCCCCGCTCTCACCATCCACTCGCCGAAGCCCTGGAAGCTCTCCTCATCCAGCATCTTGACGGCCAGCAGTCAGAATGATTCATGAGTGGAAAAAATGTCCACACGACACACTACCCCCCCCTCCCCCTCTCACCATCCACTCGCCGAAGCCCTGGAAGCTCTCCTCATCCAGCATCTTGACGGCGAGGGACCGCTTCTCCCCCTTGGGCAGCTCGCCCAGCCACTCCTCCATGGCCCCGCGGTACACCTTGCCAAAGCTGCCCGCGCCCAGCACGCTCTCATCGCGGAACCGGTTGGTGGCGGCCTGCAGCTCCTTGTATGTGAAGCGACGGAGATTGGACGCTAGAATCGATTGTTCTCCGCCGGTCCCATCCGTGGAATCTGGGAGGGCGGCCAAAGAGAGGGGGGCAGCATGCAGGAGGAAAGGGAGGGGATGTAGCAAGCGGTTGGTGGCGGCCTGCAGCTCCTTGTACGTGAAGCGACGCAGGTTGGACGCTAAGATGGACTGCTCGCCGCCAGTCCCATCCGTGGATTCTGGGAGGGGAGGAAAGGAGGATGGGGGAAGAGAGGGGAAGCGCGGGGAGCAGAATGCAGCAGGAAGAAGGAGGGGGATGCAGGAACCGGTTGGTGGCGGCCTGCAGCTCCTTGTATGTGAAGCGACGGAGGTTGGACGCTAGGATGGATTGCTCGCCGCCGCTCGCGACTGTGGATTGCTTTGGATGGGCGGCGTGTCTCTTTGTATCACGCACACCTGGCAATGCGTGATTTCTTATCCGGCATCCGTCGCTGACGGCGTTCTCTGTTCATCACAACATTCACAACATCCAAGAAAACCATGACATTCAAGACTTAGCGTGTTATTCAATTCGCGTACCTGACATCACATCCATGACATTCATGACAAGCGACTTGCACTCCTAACATTCATGACATGCGCCTTGCATACCTGACATCCATGGCTGGCTGCTCTTGCTGCTCTTGCTGGTGCTGTTCTTGGTGATTTTGATTGATTGCTCCTCTATACTGAGGCAGCACCCCATGCCGCTTCGTCTCCCTCCTAACGAAAACACCCCTAAGCTGCGAAGTGACCGGCGATAGCGCTTCTACGAGTTAAGCCGTATCCATGTCGCATGGACCGGCGAAACTGCCGTACACGATCGGAGCTTATTCTTTAATGATTATACTATTCCTGATAGGTATTTGAGATGTCCAGTCGAGAATGAAACGCGCAAAGCAGATAAATATGTCAAACACGCGAAACAGCTCTAACCTATGACCTAACTTGGCGGTTAACTTTATCTGTACCTAGCACTAACGCCGGCTTGCAGAGGATCATCTCAGGCGGAAAATGCTACCCAACGCAAAAAATGCTTCCTACCTACCGACCGAACCAAACAAATACTCGTGACTGACTGATCAATGCAAGCTCGAATGCTACACCAGCGGGAACTAGAAACTCGGGAAAAAAATATCCGTCGAAATGTCCCTAACTAGCTGGCCTCGCGAGCGCAGTCAGACATACGCCATTACTCCGACGCGCAAGACGCTTGCATGCGTAGCCACAGCCCCCAGTGCTTTTGCCGAGGAGAACGGGTGCGCTTGGCGTGGTGTGGTGTGAGAGGCGAGGCAACAAAACACGTATGTGCCGTTTGCACAAACAGAGAAACCCAGCTCAGACATCTATGCATTGCAGACAAGAACAGTGAAGGCCAGAAAATGTCACGGCTGACTGACACAGGCTGTCAGCAAGACTGCTGCTGCTGTGACTGCCTCTCAGAGTGCTGCTTTGCACGGAGACATGCTGGGCAACTGTACCAAGCTATCCAATTACGTTAAAATGCATGTTGTTAATTCATCTACAGCTAAACCATGCATGTCATTAATATCCAGCATTGTTTCAGAAACAAACCAGATGAACCGTCTAAATCACAAACCCAGTACAACCACAAGCGCTCAATTGACAGCTTTCAATTTCTTGTCATTGCGTCTGCGCTTTCTGCACTCCCTCTCATCCTCCCCATACTCTTTCTTCTTCATTGCTCCCCACAGCCCATCCACTGCCCCTTTTGCTGCCTCCCTGGCCACTGCTGCCACATCCCCAGACACAGACCCCTGCAATGCAGCCAACAGATCCTTGCCACCTGGCACTTCACCATCACCCAACACTTCATACTTCATATCCACTGAAGCCCCTTCAGTTTCTCCACCCGATGATCCAGAGGCATTTCCAGCAGACCCTTCAGCAGGACGAGCAGCAGCAGGGGCCACACCCAGGACTAGAACACGAGCAACAGCACCAAGGGCTATCCGGGCGGCAGTGGCTGCAGCTGCTGCCTCCGCTTCTGGCGTCACAACACTGTCCTCGCTTGGAAGGGACTCTGCAGCTCCTGCTACGGTCCAAATCTTGCCATCCGGAGCAAAGGAAAGGCTGGTGGCTGACACTCCATCGTTGAGCGTGATGCACTGCAACATGACAACGTGGAGCAAGGGGCGGGATGATCAAAAGGCTAGCAAGGGAAACGGCACTGCTGCAAGCAACCAGTGCATGGATGATACAGCTGCAACTGCAATCAGCATGTGGATCGTGAAGTGAGAAGCAGTGCGGGAAGGATGCACAGCCCACACACAGCATCACAGCAGAGCAAACACACCAGCACACTCACTCTCCTCCAGACACACACCCGCCTTAATGAAAAGGCAGTGGGAGGAGGGGAATAAGGGAACTAACGTGCCCGTCTAGCCATGAGCACGTGGGCGGCAAGCCGCGTCTGTTTCTATCTGCACGAGCATCCCTCCGGACCTCGACAACAGGCCCGGAGCCCCTTCTTGCGAAGGAACCAACCGGACCTGCGTTGAGCCTGCAAGGGGTTTATTTGGCGCAGTTATGACTCGAAATCCTTCCATGGGTGCGCCTGGCTCTGCCCCCGAGGGGGAGAGGCGCAGGCAGCACGGATAGGCGCTCTCAAGGACTGCGCGGGCGGCGGACCGATGCCAGTGGGCTCCGCAACTCGTTTTTACAAATGGAGAATGGACAGACAGATAGATAGACAGACAGCCAGACAGACAGATGGATAGACAGGACAGACAGACGGATGCAAACCGACATGGAAGGGACTGTGGTTGAAAGCACACCTGAGGGAGTTGCAGTGTGCGTGAGGCAGGGTCGAAGCGGAACAGACAAACGCGTGGAGAGCTGAAGAGAGAAGTGGCAAGAGTAGAGAGAAGGAACCGGGGAGGAGGGACGGGAGCGGTGTTAGTGAAGAGCATGAGGACGAATACGGGTAAGACGTCAATGTCACAGTCCTGCGTTTTAGCTCTGAACACGCACGATGCTGGCAGGCTCGCATAGCGAAGCACCTACCCGGCAACAGCTCCGGCGACCAAACAGCCACTCGTATCGACCGCCACTGCTACCAGCGACGAGCCATCCGCTGTTGATCCTATCTTTCCACCCCTGCTTCCCCCTGCATCTCCTTCGGAATTAGCTACACCCTCGTTCTCCGCCGAGCCTCCCGCCTCTGCTTCCGCTTGTTCTTCCCGCGCACCCGCGGAGTCCACTGCCATGGGGGAAGGCTCTTCAGCCTGCGCAGGCGTCGGCGGAGGCGGCATGCGCAGCACCTGGAGGCAGCGGCCGTCTACAGGGTCCCACAGGCGCACCTGTGACAGCGGTGGGAAGAGAACGACACGTTGAAAAAACCACGTCAGTAATCAGGGTTCGGAAGCCGAAGAGGCAGGAACCACACGTCAAGAAAGCTCGAAAATCGGCAATACCAGAGGCGAAAGCGGAGGACGGGAAAAGAGGGAATGCGCACTCACCGTTGCGTCAGCCGCGGCGGACAGAAGCAACTGCTGCGACCCATCGCCGGCCGCGGCGGCACCGTCAGTCCCGCTGTGCTTGGCTAGTACGGGCTCGCCAACAAATGCTAGTGCTGTCAGGAAACTGGCGATATTCATCAGACGGGAAAGAAAAGAGAAGAGACAAAGGAATTAGATGGGGGAATATTCATGACGGACGACAACGACGTATAGATTGAAATCCAGAGTGAAAGAACTGAAAAAAAAAAAAAAAAAAAAAAAAACGCTACAGCAGAAAGTGGTGAGAATCTCAATAAATCGGCTGTCAGACACAAATGCCATGGCACCGTACCCTGTATGTCCGAGGCAGAAGCTCTGGATCTCATGTGCACCTTCTAGAGGGTTGTCTGGAAACACCGACACCTGCAAAAGAGAAGCAGTAGCAAGTCAGACAATTATGCTGCTATGCAACCTGGTATAGAAGTGAAATAATGTAGGTAGATCTAACAAAATCAGGGTTAGACTGCAGTGCAGCAACCCACGCAAGTTCAAACCAGCACTGGGTACCACAACGCACCTACACGAATCTTTCCGTCCCGATCGCCGGTAGCGATGAAGCGATTGCCGTGCGACACCGCCTGCAACAGTAAGTCGGGTAGCAAAAGAGAAAACCACAGGACAGACCTCTCAAATGAACTCTTCGATTTAAAAGGAAATTCGCAGGACAAAACACAGAACCTGAAGGCCCTAGCAGATGCACGATTTTCCATGAAGGGAGATGTTAGCAATATCTGCTTGAAAATTCATGAACGTACGAGGCAGGTGATGATGCTGCAGCAGTGGCCCAGCAGCTGCTTCGCTGTCTCCACCGCTCGCTTGCCTTCGCCTCCTTCTCCGTTCTGAGCAGCGAGGTCGGTCGGCGACGGCACAGCGAGAGCGTGAACGACGCCGAACTTATCGGCGAAGAGCAGCCAGCGACCGTCGCTGCTGTACCCCATGGCGCTCACCCGCTTGGACACCTTCCTGAACAAAGAACGACGAATTCAAAATGAACAAACAAAAAGAATGCAAAAAACTTTCGCTATGAAGAAAAATGCATCATTCAAAACAACGCACACTGTAAATGCCGGTACAGAAATACTCAAAATCCGAATTATAAATCTTCACCACTTACTCATTATGGCAGCATATCCAGCTGTTCGACGCAGACTGCTCCTCCCTGACCCAGAGATTGACGATCTTATCATCGCCTGCCGTCGCCATGACACGGCCGGTAGGGTCCACGCACATGGCTCGCACGGCGTCGCCATGAGACACTGCCTGCTCCGCACCGTAGCTGCTCTTGAACGAGACCGCGGATCCCAAGCTGCATAAAGAAATGTGTGAAAGATTTAGAAATTAGCAACCTTGAGCCACTCTGAATTTGTCACCACAATACCATGGCCTGGACGCAATCAGGCCCGAGAATATCTGGTGCTATAACTTGACACGATTTACCTAATATTGAAGCCTCGGATAGCGGCACCGGCGGTGGCGAAGACAGTGGAGCCTGATGGATGAAGCGCGAGAAGAGACGGAGCCAGCGAGCCTGACTTCTTGCCTGCAATCCCTCCGTCGTCTTCGCCCGCTTCTTCAGCACCCGCTTCCTCGTGCACCTCGCACGCGTCACCTCCGGTACCCATCTTATCATGACCCTCCTCTTCACCTGTTGGCCGCTCGGCCTCCATTACACTAGAATGGTGGCGCTCCTACCTAACATGGACCTGGTCTGACTACCGAAGACCTCTTTTCCTTGTAGGCGTACAGTTGGTGTCTCGAGATTTGGTGGTCTTGGTTGGGACTGCTGGGGGGGTGAGAGGGTGGTTGCCTCGCATTATTCTGAATAAGCAGCCCATCAGTGTAGGAGATGCTAAGACGTCATTAACTGCATTACTTTCAAATCATGCCACATGTATGCAGTACCAAGAGTAAGCAGCCATTGTGCCATTTATAGCAGTGGATGTTGGAATAACCGAAAGGTCAAAATAACATCGCCAAAGGATCTCCACTCACGCGTCACTTCATAACGAAGCAACGCGTCTGTAGCAGTACCGCAATAGCTCATATAGAGCATGCGGAAGATCGAGAGTCACCCGAAGGTCAACAGTCGCTCTTAGTCAACGTTCGCGACTGTTGACCGTCCGGCAACCGCATCAGAGGTTACGCGATGCAATATGGTAACTGTCGAGAATGGCAATAGTCGCAGTTGTTGGAAACAAATAACTTAAACGCTTCTGAAGTATCGTAGCATCGACATGAAACAGAGCATACCACAGCGAAGCAACACACGAGTCAACAAAAGCAACCGCTGGAGGTTACGCGAAGGTCAAAGGTCGCTGACTTTTGACTCGACGAAAAGTACAGTGCGACAGCAAGGACACATAACTGACTCGATACTGAGCAGTTACCCGAGTCGACACTGTAACGAACCGCAACAGCAAAAACAGTTAAAAGTAAAACTTTTCATACTCCCTTGTAATCATATAGAAGGCCTGTATCTCTCTGCTATTATTAACTTATCTTGTTCTCACACACCAGTACAAGGTGGTTCAGCAACTCTGATATTAACGCTTCCGCAAACTACAACATTCCTACTTCAACTAGATCTTAGCCTTGAAAGATCCTAAGGGCTATTTCTCAGCCCAACATGGTATGAGAGCAAACAAGGCAAGATCGATTTCCAAAATTTATACAACACAAGACATGGCAACACAGAAGGAGAGGAGCTCCTCCAACGGATCTCTCGGCACTACTCCTACTCCACCTCCAGCCTCTGGTATACAGACAGAGGAAGGCACAGCAATAAGACCAGCTGCGGAGTCGACCGAAACTCCCGGGAATCAAGCAGCAGGCTTTGACCCAAACATGATGGAGAAGTTCTTCTCCTTCATGTCCTTCTACAAGCAATATCAGCAAGCAGCTCCTGCGCAATCAAACAACAGTGACAATAACAACAGGGCTACTCCAATGAGCCTCATCGTGGCTCCATCAGCTTCGCGCCACAACCACAGTCTTCACCTGGACAAGAGAAGACACTGGACGCACTTCAAGTTCAATCACAATTTGCACACGTGTTAAAACTGCAGACATCAACACCTTTCGACGGAAAGGACTTCTATACCTGGTCATTCGAATTCGAGCTGATGATGGAGGGCGCGCAAATTCTTGGATTCTTCGACGGGTCCCTGCCATATCCAACACATGGGACACAGTACGATAAGCAGCAGTACACATATCACACGCTGATGGCGTATACGATACTACTGCGAAATTTATCTCCAAACGAGCAGCAGAACATCCGGTCTTATCGAGGATACGGCAATTCCGTCGAGCTGGCGTACGACCACCTGAAGAGCCTGTATCAAGCAACAGACAGTGTTAATCAAAGTCGTCTCATGGCTCAGCTGACAACAGTGGAAATTAAACCCGACGAAAAGGGAATGGCACTCTGCGCCCGCCCTTCTTTGAGGGGTGTTCCCCCTCCCCCCTTGCCCCCTCCTACGCCTCTGCTGCTGCTAAAGAAGTCTCTGTTCCTGAGGACGTCGGGGCTGCTTCTGCTAGTGCGAAGCGCCGCAGCAGCAAGGGCAAGGGTGGCCGGGGTGGTGGAGGTGGCAGCGCCGGTGGTGGAGGTGGCAGCGGGAGTGGTGGTGGGGACAGCAGTGGAGGTGGTGGCGGCGGTGGGGCTGTTGGCGGGAGTGGGGGCTCTGGTGGCGGTGGTGGAGGCAGCGGTGGGAGTGGCGGCAGTGGAGGCGGTGGGACTGGTAGCGGTGGGACTGGCGCTCGGCGTGTCGGTTCTGGGGGTGGCCAGCGTCAGCAGCAGCAGCGTTGGAGCGAGACCTCGTCTCCCCAGCAGCTTCGTGAGTGGTTTCTGCGTGGGGCGTCTGGGGGTAGTTTCCCGTATATCATTCGCACGGGTGACCGTGCTGGTCAGACTTGCGGGCAGCTCCACACTCAACACCGCTGCTTCTCCCGCCTCGACGACGCTTGGCGTGCTGAGTTTGGTGACGACGTCGAGCTCCCTCGCTGGGCAGATCTGCATAAGTCTAGGATTGCTATCTTTGACCTAGACTTTGATTCTATTCTTTCTGCTATGTATGCTTTGTCTGATAGTGCTTAGGGTGACTGTTACCGGTGTGTGCCGCCTGACCCAGGTATAGCCGCTGCTGCTCTAGGTGCTAGTGAGTCTGGTACTCTCCCTGGTACTGCGCTTGCTAAGGCCTTGCACACTTTCACGTTGGACTCCGGCGCCTCCCGCTGTTTCTTTCGTGACAGCACCACCCTCACTCCTCTTCCTGCACCTGTCCCGGTCAGATTGGCTGACCCCTCCGGGGGACCGGTCGTGGCCCGTTCCTCCACTGTCCTCCCGTGTCCGGCGGTTCCGTCCGGCTCACTGTCAGGTCTTCACCTCCCCTCATTCTCTACGAACTTGGTGAGTACCGCTGCCCTCCAGGATGCGATGGTCACTACCACCACTCCTGGGGGTCAGCGTGTGTCGATCTGCACGTGCACACGGACGGGGCGTCACCTGGCCACGTTCACTCGTCGGCCGGGGTCGAGTCTGTACACACTCGCTACCGAGCCTTCTCAGGTAGCTGCGTCTGCTCAGGTGTCCGCGTCAGGTCAGGTAGCCGCCTCTTGCTCGTGTCGCCTCCTGTCGCACCAGACTCTTCTGTGGCACCACCGCCTGGGTCACCCCTCCCTGCCTCGCCTTCGTGGCATGCACTCTCGTCTTCTTGTCTCTGGCCTCCACAGGTCTCTGCCTCTCCTGCCGCCCTGGCCTACCCCGCCCTGCCTCCCTTGCGTCGAGGGGCGGCAGCGTGCCGCTCCTCACTCCTCCTCGTTTCCCCCGACGACTGCTCCCCTGCAGACTCTCCACATGGACGTTTGGGGCCCAGCCCGCGTCAATGGACAGAGCCGCGAGTGCTACTTTTTGCTGGTAGTTGACGACTACACGCGGTACACCACGGTCTTCCCCTTGCGCAGCAAGGGTCAGGTCGTTGATGTCTTGATCCCTTGGATCCGCACAGTCCGTCTCCAGCTCCGCGAGCGGTTCAGCCAGGACCTTCCTTTCCTGCGTCAGCACTCTGACAGAGGTGGTGAGTTCTCCTCCACCCTCTTGCGGGACTTTTGTCGTGGGGAGGGCATTCTCCAGACGTTCACGCTTCCGGACTCCCCTCAGCAAAATGGGATTGCTGAGCGCCGCATTGGCTTAGTCATGGAGGTCGCTCGTACCTCCATGATCCATGCGGCCGCTCCCCATTTTCTGTGGCCGTTTGCGGTCCGGTACGCTGCGCATCAGCTCAACCTCTGGCCCCGTGTCTCCTTGCCGGAGACCTCGCCCACACTGCGTTGGACGGAGGAGGTTGGCGATGCGTCAGTGTTCCGGGTCTGGGGCTCTCGTGCCTTTGTTCGCGATATGTCTGCGGACAAGCTCTCCCCCCGTGCTATCCCCTGCGTCTTCCTTGGCTTTGTCCCCGACGCGCCTGGCTGGCAGTTTTACCACCCCACCTCGCGCCGTGTCTTCCCTTCTCAGGACGTCACGTTTGACGAGTCGGTTCTCTTTTACCGCCTCTTCCCCTACCACTCTGCCCCTCCCCCGCCCCCGCCGCTCTTCCTTGCTCCCGGTCCCCCTCCGGTAGACCCCCTCCCGCCCCAGGGTCCTGCTCCCTCAGGTGTGTCTCAGGTAGACCCTCTCCTTGGTCCTGCGCCTGTTCAGGTAGCTGTCGACTCAGGTGCTGCTCGAGGTGCTGCGTCTGGGGGTGCGGAGCCTTGGGGTGCGGAGTCTGAGGGTGTGAGACTGGGGTTGCTGAGCTTGGGGGTGTTGAGACTGGGGGTGCTGAGCCTGGGGGTGTTGCGACTGGGGGTGGTGAGCCTGTGGGTGCTGAGCCTGAGGGTGTTGAGCCTGGGGGTGCTGCTCCGGAGGGTGTGGAGTCTGGAGGTGCTGAGCCTCAGGGTGCTGCTTTGTCTGGAGGTTCTGCTGGTGCTTCTCCGAGAGTGTCTCTGCAGCAGTTGCGTGAGTGGTTTGTTCGGCGTACGCGCCTTCGGAGTGGAGCTTCTAGAGCTGGAGGTGCTGGCACTACTGGAGCTGGAGGTCCTGGAGTTGCTGCTGGAGCTGGTGTTACTGGAGGTACTGCGACCACTGGTCCTGGAGGTGCTCGTACCTGGGGTACTGGAGCTGCCGGGACTGGTGGTGTTGAGGGTGCTAGAGCTGGAGACCTTATGGAGTCTGGTACTACTGGCGCTGGTGGCGCTGGAGCTGGAGGCGCTGGAGTTGGAGGCCCTGGTGTTGGAGGTGTTGGAGCTGGAGGAGCTGGAGCTGTTGACCCTGGTGGCGTTGTACGGCCGCGACCGTACTTCGTTCCCCTGCTTCAGCAGGTTCTTGGTACCCCGTCTTCTTTTGCCCTTACTCCTCCTCTCCTGTGTCCCCCGCCTGACCAGTCGCAGCCGCCGTTACAGCCGGCCTCTCCACTGCCTGCTCCTTCTCCTTACAGTGAGCAGTCCGGCAGTCTTACAGAGCGTCGTAAGCCTGCATCTCGTCCTGTCTCGCCTGTTCGCACTGCTCGTCGCGTTCCTCATTCGCGTCCTCCTCCTGTCCCTGGCACGCACGCTATGACCCTTCGTCCTTCCTCTGTTCCTCTACGTATTCCTCTGCCAGCTCCTCCTGAGTCCTCTCTTCCTGCCGTCTCTG